GCGTCACCCCCACCCAGCTCGACCCCGGCTCCAGGGTAGCCGGTGCTACCCTGCCACCGGCCGCCCCACGCCGTCCAGGTGACAGCCAAGGCTGGGTTCGAGGAGCCCCCAAAATCCCAGAGGCTTTTGGCTCACGCTGCCAGTGCTTGCGGCTCTCTGGGGACATGTCTTCAGGGCTGGTCCCCATCTCTCCCCTCTTTGCCTCTCCCCCTTCCTGGAAAATCATGCCCATGGCCATGCCGGGGTGGGGGGACAGCCAGGTTTGGGGTCGTTCCCGGGAGCCTGGAGCTTCTCTCCGGCAGAGCTCTGCGTGCAGGGAGCGGTTGTCTCTGCATCTCTGTTCTTCCCCTCTTAACCCGGGGACAAACTCCGTCCTTACCCGCTTTCATGTGCTCTGATTAACAGGTACCTTGTACCTCTAATGACACGGGGCGATCGATCAGCCCAAACTGTCTCCTTTCCAGAGGGAAGATGGAGGTGAAGGGTGGGAGGAGGAAGGAAGGGTCATACTGATTTGGGAACCCTCGCAAAATAGGGACAGAGCCACTTCCTAGGTTTAGCACGTCCAGCTCTGTCACCCTGAGCTCTCCTCCCTCCACAGGTCCAGCCTGGGTCGAGCAGAGGACCAGCATCTTCTCCAACCCACCGCAGAAGGAAACTTCACCAACAGAAGGTCCCATCAGCTCCAGCACCCCAGAAGCTGCTCAGTCTTGGAGGCTGAGCAGAGATTTTCTCCCCCAAAAGGCAGAAACCAGCCATTATCCCCCACTGCGAAGCTGCTGCTCCTGGGGTTCAAGGCACAGGGGAGCCCAGCTCTGTCCCAGAAGTGGAGCTGCAAGGAGAAAGGTGGGGTTTGGGGGTTCCCTTCTCCGTGGGGAGGAGCTCCCAAGGCCTGACGGTGCAGCGGGGTCAAGAGGGATCCCGGGGCAAAGCCCACCACACTTAGCGGATCGGCTGCCACCAGCTCAGAGGGAGGTGTCCTCAAAGCCGCTGGCAGAAAGAAAACACACGTGGCTCAGAAATGCAGAGTTTAAGGTGCAATTCAGAGGTTTTTTTTAAGTTCTAGGGCATCAGGAGATGATAGTTTTGATGTCCAAGGACTGTCACCAGTGTTGGGGACAAGCAGGAAAAGGGAGACAACCACGACTTAATCCCCGTGGGGAGATGATTCCCAAGAAGAGCTCTCACGGGAGAATAAATAAACAGGCAAAGGAAAGAAGTCAGAAATACGGGATGCGCTTTAAAACAAGGAGGGTCATTAAGTGTTGCGGCAGCTCCCCTCTTCCTTCCATCCAGGAGGAAGAACCACAAGTGGCTCCTCCAGCTCGCTCCGGGGCTGGGAACAGGCTTTCCTGGCGAGGAGATGCCACCAGCCCGAATGCCGGCACCAGGCAGGTATCTCGGCTCGAGGGAGACGGTGTGCGGCTGCCTGGACCTTTCCCTGTGGGAATGAGGGAGCTGGGAATGTCCTCCCCCAAGCTTTGGAAGCCGAGCTGGAGCCCGGCTGCCACGGCTGAGCTGCTGACTCATTTTAAAACCGGTAATAAAAGCAATGGGCCGTGGGGTGATAAAAGCTCCCCCGGCTTATCACCGCCCCGGTTCCAGTAACGAAATCCCGGCACTTGCAGGCTGCCTGGGGAGTAATCGGAGGGCTTAATTGAGGAAGATCGTTAGGGGAAAGACCAAGATAGGGGAGCTGGAGTCCCTTACCTACCGCGAGCAATTGGGGCTTTCGGGACAATGATCGATGGATTTGTGTATCAGGAGGCAACGGGGAAGAGAAGGAGGTGAAGAGCTGAGATCCTGCCCCCCTGAAGGCAGCAGGGTGTCCCCGTCCCTTCCTGGCAGAGGGTCCCTGGGTGGGTGGGGGGATCCGGGGCCATGCTCGCTGCTCTCCGCCGTGCGTGCTGGGGGCTGCCGAGACACCCGGCAGAGAAAACATCCGGTGAAGGAGCCTGCTCCGCGTTGATGTTCCAACAAGGCAATCAAGCCCTTGGCAAATGCATCTCGGGGAGACCTTCCACCAGCAAGGGGCTGTTTCACCTCAGTAATGTTAATATTAATCTGCTTATCTGCCCCGGGGCTGTAAAACACTCAGCTCCAAAGGGGAAAAAAAAAAAATTCCCACTGTTCTTTCTCTATATGTGCCCTTGCTTATTGCGGGCCTTATCAGCAAACCCAGCCAGCCCTCAGGGCAAGAGAGTCACGCAATGGCTCCGGCAAACAGGGCCGCTGGACCTCCACCAGCATCAGCATCGCGTGTTCCCACTGCAGCTGGAGTCACCGGGCCAAGTCCACGAGAGCTTCTCCACCCCACGGGGATGGCGTGACACGCTGCAGCCAGGTCCCCGGCGGTCCTGGCGCTTTTCTGAATCATCAGGTCAGGCACTGAGAGACCCAGATCCACATCCAGGATGATCTCACCTTCTCTGTGCAGTGATGGATGCCGGCTTTGGGATGTCCCTTGAGGAAAGGAGGTTCATGACTCTATCACCTTGACCTATAGCCCTTGTCATAGGAAGGGGAGATGTTATTTGCCTGATGGCTTGTCCTAAACCATCCTTCCACGTTTCCTCCAAGGCTGTTGATAGCCTGCAGCTCAAACCACGGTTTGGGCTTCCCGGTCTTCACCCTTGCTTTTCCTCCAAAATTGGGATTAAACCGCTGTGACGCAGAGTGTCAGGCTGGTTCAGTGAATTCAGGTGGCTCTGAGGTTCTGTCGTCTTAATGTTTCATCATACATTATGACCAGGCAGGACCTGGACAAAGAGTTACTCCTTTTCATTCAGGCTTGTTTAGCGGGTCTGAACACCTCCCTGCTCTTGCTGGAATCTCCCTCAAGTCTTGGGAAATCGGCTTCCCCGTTTTCTTCCCCAGCACACTCTTTTGTTTCGGTCTCTTCTTGGAAGGTTTTGTGCAATGCCTGATGAGTGATTGGTATTCGGACCTGAAAGGAGCTCTCATTGGTCAAGGTCTGGGGCTATGGCTGGGCAGACACCATCCATGGGAACAGGTTCAAGAGCAGTGGGTGTTGCACCGGATGGTTATACTTGTTCTGGTATCGTTGCTTGCCAGGTACTGGGTTGGCTAAGATGTCTTTGCGTGCAAGCTGAAGAGAAGGAGGCATCTGGCTCTGCTGGCATGGGTTGACTGTCAGCCAATGTAAACTCTTGGGTTTGAGCTGGAGAAAGTCCTGTTCTCCTTCTCTGCCCTGTTGTGAAAACACCCTTGCTCCAGCCCACTATACCAGCAGCTTGACTTTCTCAATAGCAAGGGGTAAAGTTGTCCTTCCTTGTGTCTCATGGCCAGCAGTGACTATGGTGAGCACGGCTTAAGGTGGCTGAAGTCCTCCAACACACTGGTCCAGAGGGACTTTCCTCCAGCTCAGTTCATTTGAAGGATCCCTCTCATTTTTTTCTGAAGAAAGTAATCTGAGCAGCCCCGGGGCAAGGTTGTCCGACAGATTCTCGAAGAGGCATTAAAAGTGCTTTGAGCTCCTCTATGGACAAAGATAAACCTCTCCTGTGTGGGTCCTTAGAGTGACATGACAAGTCAGTGAGGCAATTAAAAACACAGAAACCGAGGAACAGGCTGTCCTTAGAGGACTTGGAGAAGTATTAGCATTCTTCCAGGACCTCCAAGATTTTTTTCCCTGCAGACATATCTACACTGAAGGTAAATTTCAACCACTGAAAAATTTTCCCCTGGGTAGTCCAAAAATAGTGATACTGACTGGACCTCAATAACATTGTCCTCATCTCCACCCAAGCTTTGGGCATCGGTTCAGCCAAGGTCTTAAACATCAGTGGAGGCCATTGGCACTATGGCATGGGATGACTGTCCTTCAGTTATCAAAGACCGATTCTAAAAGGATACAGCCCAAGAGTATTTAGATGGTCTGGTTTGGGGTACATTCCCTTTCCTTTAGCAAAAGACAGCTTGCACGCCCTGTAAATGTGCTTTGGGATACTAAGACTAGATGTGATGGAATATCCAACATTTGATGGAATATCCAACATTTGATGGAATATCCAACACCAACACCAGACTGGTGTTTCCGAATTTCCAGAATGCTGGAAAATGAAAAAGGCAAGAAATGCTACAAAGTGAACAAGGTAAGACAGGAGCTTTAATGGCTTCAGTTTATTATATCATCCCACCGAGTTGTCCCATACCCGGCTTTGCTACTAGGACAGCCAGGTCTTTTCTCCCTGGCGATGTCTGGGCAAGGGATAAGCCCATTGCTTAGTCCATGCTCTTCATGGGGAAGCGCTGCTTGACCTGGAAGTGCTCACATCTTTTGTGCTTCAAGGTCAGTCCATACAGAGGCGTCATGTCCACCTTCTTGCCATCGCAGACGCTGAACTCCAGCTGCTGGAGCAAAGTGGAGAGGAAAAGGAAGATCTGCCACCTGCCAATGGGTTCCCCGATGCACTTCCTTTTCCCCAGGCCGAAAACCAGCACCTTCTCCCCATCCGCTTTGTTCACTTCGGTCCCTTCAGCACTGAGGAAACGCTCTGGGTTGAAGGTCAGCGGATCCTTCCAAAGTTTCCTGGAAGGGAAAACATCAGGTGCTGAGATGGTGTCTCCTGGCCATGGGTGTAAGGGGGGACACTGGAAAGTGGGACCTGTCAGTACGAATATCCCTGAATTCAGCAGATACCTCACCTGCTCCCTTTTCTCTTACAACAGGTTGACTCCACTTCTGCCCAGGAAGATAACCGTGCAGGAGGGGTCCTGTATGTCACTGCAGGAGGCTTCCTGCCTCAGAAGGTACTTACTCGTCATGATTCACTTGCCACTGATTGACAAACACGCAGCGGTCCTTTGGGATGTAGTAGCCGTTCAGCACTGTGTCCCTGGTCGTGCTGGAGAGAGAAAAGGCTCTGAGAGTTTGGGAAGCAAAAGGGTTCTTCTACATCCTCAGGGGACTATTAGTTTGCTCCTGATGCTGCTGAAGCAAGGACGCAGCCCAAAGAGATGGCTTTACGAAGGGCAGTTGCATTGTCCGTGAGCTGGATTGGGCAAACCCCTGCCTGAGCTGGGTGGAGTATTTTCAGTGAAGGCAGCAGAAGGCAAGAATTGGTCTTTGCGAGCTCCTGCATTGCCCTGCAACAAGAGCTGTGAGCTCCTGGTCTCCATGATGAAGCCATCGTTCTACAAGCCGGTAACGATCTCCCCGCCTCTCATCACACCGCTGCCGGCATGGCTGTAACAAGATGCCTCAAGTCCACCTTGTCCCTCCACCTCCTTTGCAACCTCAGCACTTGCCTGTGCGGGATGGTGAAGGGCAGGAAGGAGGAGTGCCTGAACATCTCCAGGATAAAGGCTTCTGTGTAGGGCAGCGTGCCCCGGTCCGACAGCCTCGGTCGCCTCTCCCGGCCGATGGTCCGGTCTGCGGGAGATGGAGAGGAGGGAGCAGGCTGGGGTCAGCCCTGGTCAGGGAGGTTTTGGCCCCGGAGGAAGCGGGCTCATGGACTCACCTAGTTCTTCCTGGATCCTCTTCTGGATGTTGGGGTACGTCACGAGGTACATGAGGCTCCAGGACAGGCCGGTTGTCACAGTGTCGAAGCCTGGTCAAAGAGAAAAGCATGTAGATGAGGTCTGTACAAAACACAGGGCACGCGTCTTCGCTTGCTGCCTGTGAAGGTTATCACACGGAGCAGTCTTGGATGGCTGAGAAGGCAGAGGACATACTGAGCACACTGCAAGACTTGGGTTTCTATCCTGTCGGAGAAAACTTTGCTAGAATATCCTGCGCTCACTCATCCTGAGTCACCCTTGGGTTATGTCAGGTTTGTATAACTTCCCTGGAATCGGGGGAGTTTCCACAGAGTAACTCAAAGATGAATCAGTCAACAGACATCTCCCTCCACCAGGAAAAGCCACCCTGGCTTGTGAAGCTTGACTGAGCTATAAGTTGTACCCTTCGCTTTTCCCTGAAGCCTCTTTCCAGAGCTAATATCCCATGCTGGTCTCTAGGGGTGTCCCTGGAAGGTCCAGGAAGACCAGTGAGCAGGAGAATGAGAGCTTAGACCCAAACTGGCTGCCTGGTGTTGGACAAAGGTGGGTCAGACAGAGCTATAACACGAGGAGCCTGAGAAAAGCTGCAGCAGCCGAGGGACCGGTGGGAGAAGATACCTGCTCCAAAGAGGTCATTCACAAGGTTGACGATCTTCTCCCTAGGGATCTGCGTGGCGGTACTTGCTTCCATGTTTTTCTCCAGGCACTGCTCAATGAGGGAGTCAGTGATGTCTCGGATGTTGTTCTGCGAGGCAGAGAAGACAAGTCATGGCAGCAGAACCGGCAGAGGAATGGGTGCTGCTGAGCAACAGCCTGATGCTGGGAGAGCCCAGGGTCATACAAGCACTGGAGAACAACACCTTTCAGCTCCCATGGTCCCTATTGCTTTTGCAACCTATGAAAACAAGGAGACGGTTCTCCAGGGAACCTGCGGCCCATATCAGATGTTCAACTGACAAACTGGTCCTACCCCACAGGGCCATGGAGGAGAAGGAGGACTGCACATGGAGAGACTACAGGTGCGTGAGACTACAGCTGGTCTTGCTAAATGCAGCAATACCTGCAGGAACATCGATGTCCACTGATGCTTGGCTGCAAGAAGAAAAACAACTCACTAACAGAGAGGGGCAGAGAGCGGGGACGCATCTCTGGTGCAGGTGAGGGTCCTGCAAGCTCTTACCTTGTCGTAGGTCTTGTAGTGCTCTTTGACTATCTTCTGTAGGAAATGGAGGAATCGCTTGTTGAAATCTTTAAATAAATTCATGGTGCGGCTGGGAAGGTACTGGAGCACGGGGATGAAGTCAGCGGGGTTGCCAGAAGCAGCCACGTCGACAAACTGCTCGCTTACATTCACTATATTGAGCAGCTCTTGGTCGTTGTGGTCGTAACGCTTGCCAAAGCAGATGGCGCAGATGACGTTGGCCACAGAGACCACCAGGTAGCGGTAAGGGTCAAAGCTCTTCTCCTCCTCCATCAGCTGCAGGAACTTGGCGACCAGGTAGTCAGCCTCCTTGGAGACGTGCTCCTCCAGGAGGCAGGTGGAAGAGGAGGTGGGGCTGGGGGCGATGGAGAAGGTCTTCAGGGCGTTCTGGGCCAGCTTTCTGCGGGCTTTCCACACCTCCCCTGAGTCGGGGCTGAAGGCCAGGCTCTGGCCATCCGCAACATGGCGGAAACTGTAGAGGTCAGGACGTCCCATGAAGTCTTCTCCTTGCTTCACCAGTGCTTGCCTGATGGTCTCCAGCCCGCTCAGCACCAGCACGGGCCGGGTGCCGATCCTGACCTCCATCACGTCCCCATACTTCTGGCTCAGCCTGGTCAGGGCCAGGTGCGTGTCCTTCCTCAGCTCCAGCACGTTGCCGAGGACGGGGTAGCCTCTGGGTCCCGGGGGGCGCTTT